TTCATTACGACCATGATTTTTGAAGTATGATTTCGAATCCTTCAATAGCTTTTTTGTGTCATCCAGTCAGGGGAGGTGGGGCATGAGGTGCGATATTCCATATCGCTTGAAGCAATTCATTTTTCGCATGGGAAGGAAACTCCGGGGAGGGCGTAAAAGCAGAATCGAAGTGGTGTGCGCACCCAGATGGTGTCCTCCCCTGCAAAAAGCGGAACTACATTAGATTCGTTTTTCTATAATTAGTCAATATTTCTTGATACCTGATTGGTCCCCCGGCAAGCGCCGGAACCTCTCCTTCCATGCGTAAGTCTTGCATTCGTCCTCCTCTCCTTATCCTTCCTCTCTCCTTATCCTCCCTCCTCCCTCCACTGCTCTCCAGCTGCCACTGCAGCACCTTGTGGAATGACGAAAGTGTGCTAAGTAGGTGTTTATATAGCCCTGAGAGTGTTATCACAATCTATCCATTGCAAAACATTGATAGCAAATCCTGCGAGCTACCCAGATTTGTTAGCGGCTTGTTTATTCCATTAGCTGCCTTATCACTCACTTCATTTTGCGGACGGACAGACGACATACACACAGACAAACCGCACCAAAGTTATGATTTATATAATGAAGTGATAGTGGATTAACTCGCTTGATTAAGGGTGGCAAAATGCTTCGGCCAACGATCGCTTTGCTGATGGCAAACGTATGTAATGCTGCAGCTCCGAAATCTGTTAGGTACAATTTTTTGTTGGCGTTCTTGTTTTTCATTGGAAGTCTTATTTATTGTAGGTTAGAATGCGGTTCCGACGAGGTGTCAGTTAATCAGTACAAAATTGGTATGATTAGTGAAATGATACATACCGCAAGTTTGGTACACGATGATGTTATCGACGGAGCGGATACACGTCGTGGTAATGCGTCCGTGAATGCGATTTGGGGAAATAAGATGGTAAGGGTTTGATGAATTCCATCTTTGAGTGCAACTAAATTTTGTTCATTTTTTGCAAAATTTCTGCTTATTGAAGTGAAGCATTCTAGGAATGTTCCTTTAGCTACTACTCAGCTTGTTTTGTTGTAGGGTTGATCTTTTTGTTAGTTAGAAGGCACTATTTTCAGGCTGTACTAGTTGGAGACTTTATTCTGGCCCGTGCTACTCAGATACTGTGCTCTATTAATCGGCCAAACGTGATAGCAGTAATGGCGTCAATCATTGAGGATTTAGTGATGGTGAGAATTAAACATGAAGTATAAGATATGCGAGAAATTACATCAAAGGAGCTCACT